GGGAGGGCGGGGGGGGGACCACAAAGAGAGAAAGAAAGAGAGAGAGAGAGAGGATGAATGGCAAAATTGAAATATAGGTCAAATTGCGGCCGCAAGAAAGAGAGAGAGAGAGAGGATGAATGGCAAAATTGAAATATAGGTCAAATTGCGGCCGCAATTTATTTCACAGTTGGAATGATTTATTTATTTTTTTTAACATTTTTCCTGGAAAGATAACAACAAAATTTACGAGTACTCTAATTTGTACTTTTTTCACGCATTCTTTTGAGCGTGAAAACTTACTGAATTTATAGTACTTTTTGAGTTGGCCCATACATGGCTAAGTGGCAAAAATGGAAAATGTGCCGAATCGGTGTGACGATTATTTCGCGGTCTATAATGATTTTTTGAAAATGTTATAATATTTTTTTCTGGAAAGAACACGACCTCATCTATGGATTTTCAAAATTTCAGATTTTTTTGCAGGCTCCTCCGAGCACAAAAAATCGCCAAAGTGACATTTAGCAAAACGCCTGTTTCATTATGCCTTACCTCCCTGTTTTGAGAAGACGGGCCTCAACCCCTGGGCCTGAGGGTCCTTTTCCAGTTCGCATGCCCTCACTTGTTTTGGGGGTCCGCTTCCGCCCGATGAACTGTCCTTCCTTTTGCCAAACGTCTCAGTTGTACTAGAGCTAGTTGTAGGAAGTCCGCAATTTTGCCAAAAACCGATCCCCAAATTTCTTTTGCGCCCTAAGAACCCACTTTGCGTCCTGGTCGCCCGATGTCCGAAATGAAACACCTTGACACAGACGTCGAAGCCCACTCTACCACAGCCTTAGGGCTGCGAATTTGCAAGAGGCGACTTTGACTATATTTTATGCTCATAAGAATTGGCAGAGAAATTTGAAAATTTGAGAATCCATAATTTTTTTATTTTTATTTTTTTAAATAAATCGAAGTTCATTTCGATTACCAGATCGAGATTCGGGATCTCTACAAATCGACCCAGGAGTACCTGACAGCATCAGCCAACTTGCTTACAGGCGAGAGTCTGCGAAAAGATCCCAGTATCATCTTTCCAAAGTCCTGACTACAAAGCAAATTACCATTGTGTACACCACTCATGAGCGTAATTCGCTGTGATGAAACTTCTTAATCCTTACATACATTTGCAGTAGAATTTGAGACAGACCTCTTCTATAAACTTACAGTCTTTCGTTGATGAAGCTACAATAACCTACTTGTCAAGAGTTACCAAAACTTCCAAGTTTGTATTTTGAGCATAAACTTTCCTATAGTTTTTTTCGGTATATCTTCTCAGAATGTTCCTAATGGGATGTTGGGTCTGGTTCCCAGCACGTGTGGCTCCCCACGAATAGAATGGAGCATTGTCCCCCCCCCYCCCCYCCCCCCCCCCCAAAAAAAAAAAAACATAAATTTTTCTATGGTATGATGAGACTAAAAGCAACTTAGAGAACCTCGTCCCAATTCTTGCCAACACTCTCCTATCGTCCTACAGAGGCTCTGAAGAACCAAGTGTCCTGGTACAATTTTGACACTCTTACTATTTAGTGACCTTGTGGGACCGAGTGCCCTAGTGCCCTTCGGAAGGGGAAAAAATAGGCTATTCCTCTGCTTCCTGTGGACTGATTATAACTCGCCTCTAGTATAGTTTGCCTGCCACGTAACCGCATGGCTTTGGCAAGTCTATAACACATTTTGACACCACCAGACCCTTCCTTTAGTGAATTGCTGCCAAGCGTTGATTCTTTATCTAGGTTTGCGGGAATCAACAAATTTGCCTTTTTTTCCCCTCCCCTGCTTTTGTTCTCTTCCTCCAGTTTACTCTAATGGCATACAACAAACCCAATTTGATATGTTTTTTGATTTCAAGATCCGAAAAGAGTCGCTTTTCGAATTCGGCCGGTTCTTGTCCTGCCAGATAATTTTGAAGATGAGGCCTCTTACGACGTGTGCAATGCAGCCCCATTCTCGGTGCCCTAACACATTAAGGGGCAGGAATCCTAGTAAGATCCATCTTTCATCCCGTTCGACTCCTTCCCCTCCTAGTTCCCTCCAATGATGTGTCCACCAGTTCTAAACTCTCTTTGAGACTGGGCAATCCCACCATAGGTGTGGGGTAGATTCGAAAGGCCACATGCACCTCGTCCAACCCAGTTCTACCTCCATCCCTTTATTTTTTAACCATACCGTTGAAGGAGTAACCATCAATGATAGCATCCACAGTCTCAGGAAATACGTTTTAGATTCTGACATACCCTCATTTCAGACTGCTTGTCATCGATGTATTGCAATCTGCGTCGGGTGTTTCCATTTGCTGGCTGAGATCATATACCCCATTGCCACCGAGTACTCTGATAAGCTCAGTGTCGGGTTAATCTCTTCCTTACCTGACCAGCTCAAGGCTATGGGGTCAATGCATAACTTACTAAGCGGTGTCCTACCTACCCACTCCCAAACTTGTATCGCTGGTCATTTCCCTCTCCTTTCCACCACCCGCACTTGCATTGGGTTGCCCCAAGCGTGGACTATTATTTATTCAACTAGTGTAAGCAGGTTCGTGGGTCCCTCGCTTCTCGAACGTTCCACCTTTCGAAAGTCGTTTGGGAGGGTCTCTAACACTTTCCAAAGCACTATGTTCTCCTCCTACAATTCTGAGACGTGCCATATGTAAGAGAATCTAGTCCCTCCGGTCCCAGTAGAAGTAACTAATGTTGAGGGATAGCCTTCAGAATGTCCGTCTAGTGCTCCTCCACCCGATGCATACCCCTGAGTGTCGATCTTACCTTTGACAGGGGTTTCTATCCCCCCATGACCAACGACCATAGATCATTGATCCCACGACGAACCCATGCTAACCCAAAGGAACCGGTTGATCCGTCGGCAAGAAAGAGAGAGGTCTGGTCGGTCTACTACTATTAGGTTTTCAAAAAGTAGTTGACACAGTACCTCTTCCTTAGTTATAGGCGGGATCTGTACGTCATGAAGGACCTTCCTCCACACTTTTCGAATTGCTTCCCATAAAAATTATTTAAGTTTTTTTTTTTTTAACGATGGCATGATGAAGCAGACCCACACATCATATGGCATGCTCAACTCTCATTTCTTCATTATAATTCACTCTCCGAGGGTCATCCAATGTTTTTTTGTCGGGTGATCCGCCACCTTGGAAACCCAGCCTCTCAATTGCGTCTAATTTCTGCATGTTGGGTCCATGAGACTGACGCCCCCTTCTGACCTTGGGAATGGAATCCGTAGATTAGGTCGTGGTACTTCCAATAACAATATAAAAAAAAATTGGAAAAAAATATTAAACTACCAATACATTTCTCTGCTTGAAAAAACAAATATGCGTCCGTTAACACGGCGTGGTCGGCCAAAAAACGCCCGATAGGTACCCAACGACCGGGAAAACAAAGAAAAACAAGAACGTAATTAAAAAATAATAATAAAGAAAAAAAAAATCGAAGAAACATGAACGGTGCGGAACAAGTTTCATACGGCAACGCAAGCGGGGGCATGAGGGAGGGAAGGAGAGGCAGAGAGAGAGGGGGGGGCCATCATAAAACCGCTATCGAAATGTGCAAAAGACAAAAGTGTGGTGGGTGCATCTGACCATGTTATAGCGGGAGTTCATTCTCATTTTGCACATTTCGAAAATGGTCTGGCTATGCCCAAAGTCAAGGAGTTTGTCTCGTTGCTTTGCCTTGGGCGTCAACTCTCTCTCTCTCTCTCTCTCTCTCTCTCTCTCTCTCTCTCTCTCTCTCTCTCTC